TCAAATTCGCGAGCCCTTACAAAATTTTTTTTACTAAACATATAGTCAAAATCGAGGCATAGGCTAGTCAAAATCATGATTGGTGCCAATACACGGGGGCAAACAATATCTTCTATCATCGAACTTGTAATTTTTTTCACTATTAAAATTCAATACGCACATCAATAAAACCATTATTGATATCCTTGAAACATTTGCATGACAAGTCCATGAGTCCGATAGGTTTTTGCTCGACCTTTGAATCCAAAATCTCCGAATGAAATGTACCTAGATTTCCCTATGAAGGAGAAAATTCATAAAAGGGAGAAGTATCAAACATTTCGAAAAGCATATGGCACCTCGAGTTACGAGGAAGGTCACCAAAGCAACGAACCAATCCACCATCATTCTCATTAAACATAAGCGGTCGGTAGATAGTCGATCAAGCTAGGGAGCGACCATTACCATCAATAAATCGAAAAGAATACCGTAGTCCTCATAAACTTCTAAAGGGTAGATCAACCAAGTTCACAAGAAAGTAAAAAACACAATTAGAAGGCGAGGCCATGAAGCTCGGAGCAGAGATAGCCGATTGACTTCTAATAGTCGAAAGAGAGAAGTCGGACAAAGAGATTCGAGCGGGATGGCCTACATTTCTTATAGGTACCTTGACTAACTAGTATGCTCGAGTTTGTTTTCGGGCAAATCGCAATCCCAACGAATACAAAGAGAATGGAGAAGCAATACTCCTCACAAATCCACCTCGGGTATGATCACCTTATATACCACCGCCCAAATGCAAAATCAAAAGTTGAATGACCACTTTCAAGTAAGGACGATTAACTCAATTCATCGAGTAAGATTGCCAAGCGATCGGCGTATGTTTAAATTTCTAGGGTAGGTTGCCTTTTACAACAAGTTTACGCATCGCACGTTTAAATTCTAGGGTAGGCTTCCCTTTACAATAAGGTCACGTATTTGCACGTTTAAATTTTTAGGATAGGTCTGTCCTTTACAACAAGGCCATATACCGCACGTTTAAATTTTTTAGGGTAGCATACCCTTTACAATAAGGCCACACATTGCACAATTAACTTCTAGGGTAGGCTACCCTTTACAACAAGGCCACGCATCACACGTTTAATTTCTAGGGTAGATCGCCCTTTACAACAAGGTCACACATTGCACGTTTAATTTCTAGAGTAGGTCGCCCTTTACAATAAGGCCACGCACCACACATTTAATTTTGCTCGCACATTTAATTTTCGGGATAGGCTACCCTTTACAATAAGGCCACGTATCGCATATTTAATTTCTAGGATAGGCTACCCTTTACAATAAGGTCACGCATTGCACGTTTAATTTATAAGGTAAGTCGCCCTTTACAATAAGGCTATGCACTCGCATTTTAGTTTTTAAAGTCATCCCATCATAGCTTTACTTTCGGGTAAAACAAAAAAAAAAAAACCTTCTTTCTTTATAAGCTTACTAAGCAAAGTCATTGAAAAGCATCCTTTTTACTTGACTTTACACCATAAACATTGTAAAGAAAGGGCAACCGTAATAACCCAAATTTGCTTTTTATTTTATTTTATTTTATCTTATTTTGTTTTATTTTTTATTTTTTATTATTCTTATTTTATTTTATTTTTTATTTTTTATTTCATGTATGTTTTGTTTTATTTCAATTAAAGTTTACCAAAATAATAATAATAATAAAATGATAAAAAACACAAAAATATTCATTCAAGAGCACAATTGCATTTAAAAAAAGATATAATTGAAGTAATTAGGGATATAATTGAACCAATTGAAAAATTTAGAACCTAAATTACTTCTTACAGAGGACCCAATTGATAAGATTGTGTTGAAATTGTACCACAAAAGAGCGTAGTTGCTTGAAATTGAAATGCGGAAGGACCAAGTTGGACTTATGGAGTAGACAACGGAGCTGGAGTGGGGAGGACGACTCGTCATCCACTCTAATTCCGATTTCTCTCCAAAAATCTTTGGGAGAAATATGTCAAATCTTTCACCAAATTTTCTCGTTTTGATTTTGCATTTATCATGATTCTTGGACGAAATTAATAACGAGAGAATCAAGCAATGACTAAATTTTCTGTTTTGATTTTGCATTAATTATGAATTAAAGAGGAAATATTTTGATAAAAAAAATTCGGGATTGAGATTGGAGTTTAGGAGAAATTCTAGGAAGTTTTGGCTATAAAACGAATTTGATTTTACGAACGAGGGGCGGGGAATTAGGGAGAAAAAATTGGAGAAGAATACTTGGGTTGAGAGAGAGTGAAAATCAAAGGCGAAAAGGCTTGATTTTTTTTTTATTTTAGCGACCACATTTACTAGGTTTTTTTTTGGGGTTTGTGTTCATGGGACCTAGGTTTGGTTCATAATCCGTCGGACCCTCTTGTTTTTTTTTTTTTCTTTTTTAGTGTTTCTTGGGGTCAAGTTTTGATCTTCACAATCTCCTTTACCTTTTTGTTTAAAATTCGAGTTCCAATTCTTCAAAATGCGGGTTCTTCCTTTGGGAATTTTGGGCGGCGAGCTGCGTTTCTTCATAATTATTAGGTTTGTGCTCTTTATTACGGGTTGGTGTTCTTCATTCCGAGTCAATAAAAAGGGGTCTTTTGGGCTATTTCTAAGAATATTATTGTTGTTTGAGTGTAATAGAAAATAAATCGAGGGGTCAATAATCAAAAAAACCGTGTGAAATCCTCGTTTTGGTTTCGTCGGTTCTTCTATTTTTCTAGGTTTGTCCGGTGTTCTTCGACCACAATTCTAGGTTAGCTTCTTCTTGTTGATCTTTTCGTTTTAATTTTTGTATGTTCATTATTTTTTAGTTGTTTGTCTTTTATTTTCGTTCATGATTTGGGTGGTTGATTTGCATGAATGACTCTTTGATTGAAGATAAATTTTTAGTTTTTTGGGAAAACTTGAAGCACTAAGAGAAAATGATAAGGAGTTGTGCTTGATCAAAATTTTGGAATTTATAATCTTATGGACTTGTTTTTGGGCTTGAGCCCGGTTGGGGTTTTAAAAGAAGGCGCTGGGTCGCCGACTCGTTGCGAGAAAAAAAAAGAGGAAAAGGTGGTTGGACTGAACTCACCCTTTGTCCAAACAAAAAAAAAACACACATAGAAAGGGGTCCATCCCATAGCCCACCCTTCAAAAAAAACCCAAAAAAAATAAATAAAATAAAATAAAAAGGAAGGTTAGTTCCATTCCAGTCTTCTCTTAAAAAAAAAAAGGGTAATAAAGAAATAAAAACATAGAATTAGGGAAGAAAAAAATAATAAAAAATAATAAAAAAGAAAGAAAGAAAAAGGAAAAGGGGATGGGTAGAAAAATAAGTTGTGGGTTAATGGTTTAGGTATATGATGATTTTTTTTTATTATTATTCATCTATCTATTTTTTTTAACTTTTATTATTTATTTTTTTAGCTTCGTTTATTTTTATTCCTTGTCATTTTTTAAAATATTAATTTAGAGTTGATATTTCAAATTTTTATCTTTATTTTTTTCTTTTCTTTACTATGTATTGTTAGAAAAAATTATAAAATCTTGACAAAGTTTCCTATCCGATAGGGACCGACGTCACTAAAAAGAAAATACTTAAAAATTTTGGTGAAGCCTCCTACTTGGTAGGGACCGACGTCACAAATAATAATAATAATAATAAATACGACAAAGTCTTCTATCCAATAGGAACCGACGTCATCAAAAAGAATATTCAAGATTTTCGACAAAGTCTCCTATTTGATAGGGATCGACGTCACCAAAAATCATCTTTTTTAATTAAGGCATCATACGACACGCCGGTTGTGTCAAGGCTTTTAGTGGATCCGATGTTTGAACCAACGTGTCGCTCGACGAAGGGGACCGACGATCGTTTCAATACGATGCCATGCCCAAACTAATTTTTTTATTTATTTTTACTTTGAAAAAAATAGGAGTTTAAAATTAGAAAATAGTTTGACATGAAATTTTAGGAGATGAATTTAGAACTAAACCATACATGGTACCTTTTTTTCAAAAAATGGCACTTTTAGGTGATTAAATATCTTCCTAAAAGCGTAACCAACTCCTTACCTTAGGAATCTCCGAAGCGAGTGCTATTTTTAGGTTTCTAGTTCCTTAAATACTAGGTGGCGACTCCAAAACACTCGTAAAATTTTTTATAAATAATTAACGCCTAGATTTAATTTCTTTAGAGAGTCCCGTCCGACGTCGTGTAGCAATATAAATGATCAAATAGTCACGAGTTTGAATTCTATGACTTTTATTGTATTAATTAAATTAAAATTTTCAACACAAAATAATAATGATGGGCTTTACAAATTTTAAATCTAAAAGATTTTTATTTGAAGAGATATATTAGATATGAGTTAATATAATTAAAATTATTCTTGAATCATATTGAATGTCTTAAAATTTTAGGTAGAAATGTTTATTTGACCAACCGAAAACACACTTGTTTAAACTATTTTTTCTATTGCTTGGATTGTTTATTACTTAATATTGAAAGCGAGACTTAAGTTTTTTGAATGGATCATAATCTAAGCTACATAACTTTATAAAGTATCAAAATTTCAAAGAGACTCAATGGTCTAATAAAAATCCTAGAGTTCAAATCACTTCATAGATCCCAAAAGATGGGCACTTACAAGTGAACAAGAGTATTAGAACATATATCTCACATTTAATAATTAAACAAAAAATACATAACATATAAAGTTGAGAGAAAGCTACCTATCATAAGGTTTAAGTCTTTTAGATGAAATTTAATCTTAACTATTTAACTCAATACTTATAAGTTGTTATAAAAGTAACACAAAACAAAACAAAAATAAAACAAAATAAAAAGAATGAGGAATCAATTTCAAAGGTTTGGTTGCTAGTTGTTATAAGAGTATCACAAAACAAATAAATAAACAAAGAAAATCATACAATTTTATTGTTATTTATTTAGAGATGGTACAGCATAAGATTCATTTTTCTCAATTTTAGTCACAGCCACCAGAGGCAAATCCAATCCTTTCTTTTGCACCATCAAAGAAGACTGTGTGAGTCCGTTGCTGAGTATTCCCAAGGATTGCATATTCCTCGTCCAGTGCTGCAAACGCCAAGCAGTACAACTTGGACTCGTCAACCCTGACCATGATCCCCGACACATCGATATCCACCTCAACCTCACCTTTGAAGAACACACTAACCGCAGGTATTGTCACCGTCTTATAATTCCTGAAGTTATAGCATGTGTCTAGAGAGTCATCTACGTCCACCATAGGATAACTTTTCTTCATTTTTCGGAACACTGATCTGAGCACCAAGTATGCCTTCGGAGGCAGATAACTTTACACTGCACCAGAGTCAATGGTGCAACGAATCCTGAAAACCGATGCATCTATCAATATTTTACGGTCTCCGACACTAATTCCAGTCATTTCGATGTCGTAGTCTGAAGATAGTGCTCTTTTGGATACGTGAGAAAATTTCACATCCTTCGAAACTTTACTGCCGAAAGTAAGGTAACCAGCTGAGCCGGGAGTTGATGGTATACAATAAGAGAAGAGTTTGTTGTATTTGTCAGCAGTTTGGGATGGAAAAGATATTGGTTCGCGGTTCAGTCCAAATATACCCGAATTTTCTTCACCTAAATCACCGGATATTCGATCGCTGCATCCAATCAAGATTTTCTTGAAATCGGTTTAAAGGATATTGTTTCCATGGCATAAATTCCTGTGGATGTGGTGTTGTCTACATATCCAACTTTGTAACTGCACTTCGAAGAGAAGCATACTACAACATGGAAAATATATAGGCTTGAATTTTTTATTTTATTTTTTTAAATTTATCACTGATTTTTTTTTTTTTTTTTAAGTTAACTATCTTAATACATATCAAAATAATAATATTACCTTCTTGTTCGATTCTTTGGCACTGCTTTGAGGAACATGGAATGCCTTTGAATGAGGTTGATTTGGTTGGATCAAACACTGGTGCCTTTCGAGAGCAAGGCTTGCATGGCTTACATTGAGTCCAAATGAGGCCACTGCCTGTGTCAAATACGAGTGGACATTCCTTCTTTGGCGTGCCCAAACCAACATTGACAACATAGTCACTTGCACTGGTTTTGGATAGACCATGGACCGGGACCGTACTCCTCTTCAAGGGCGCAACATTGCCAACCAAGTTCATCAAACGCCTGGCCTGAATAATCGAGTCCACTCGAAGCTTGTCTGGACGGAGGATTTCGGTGAAGGAGGGCGGAGGAATTGATTTTTTGTGTCGATTGCATGGACCATACTTGTGTACCACTTTTAGCGATGATGAACCTTTGTTGAAAGCTGAAGCACCTTAAGATTATTAAGAACAGTCAAATCCATTCCTCTCCTACATCGTCCTTTTCCATCCCAAACAAAATGTGAAAATTTTTTCTTTTATTTTTAAAGAAAAAAGAAGAAGGTCATGTTTAAATCATAGACATTTGCATATAGCTCACTAAATACTAAAAATTAATCACATTAACGTAAAGCTTCTTCAAAGAAATGTGTTTAATTTGAATCAAGAATTACCTTTGGAAGATTCCTTGCAGACGTCCAATAGGGGGAGAGAATTGATTTTGAGAGTATGAAAATAGGCTTTCGTTCCTTCAACAGCATTGTCCTTCTTCAAAGAGCAAAAAGGATAAAGAAGAAGAAAAGAATAGATAACACAAGAAAGCAGTGATTTCGAAGAAATAGGAGTAGCCATGGGAATTACGTATATTCTCTTTAGTAATTATTAATATGCTCTCCGGAATTGCGAACAGCTCTTCATATAGGCACAGCAAGTAGTTTTTTGAACGACCAGATCTACATAAATTTGGTGAAACATTACAAATATTTTTTTTATAAAGTTAAAATATAATTTATGATTTGTTAATCTTGAGAAATTGGGCTACGACCCCTTTTTTGTTGGATGTATATATTGTAGTACTCTTTCATTAGTACAGACACTACACCAAAAAATGGTTATAGGGGCGGAAAGCTTGGGGCGGTCAACAAAACCCCCGCAAACTTTAACAACTTTCATTTTACACGGTTTATTGGCAAAAAAAATATGGGGCGGTTGTACCTCTTTTTATGCAGTAGCTAACCCACTTTTTCTTTCCCTTTTTCCTATTTTGAGTTCTTTTAGAAAGAGCCCCTTCACTGTCTCGCCACTCTCCTCAACTTCTAAGCTTTTTCTTCAAGATCCAGACCCATGTCTCGACAAGTAGCAGATCCCTCTCATCCACCCTCTCCAAAATCCAAATCCTTGCTTTGACAAGTAGCAGATCCTCTCTTTTTCATCTATCGCTCCCTTGTTCCAAGCAGAAAGTCATCCCTGTTTCTCTAATTCTCTCAACAAAAGAAGAAAATGGTAGCAGCAGCAAAAGCCAGGTTTATAGGAGACCCAGTAGCAGATAACCTTAAGAAATTTTGCACTGACTTGGTTCGTGGTACCAGGGATAAGAGACTGCGGGTTAAGGGACCCGTGAGAATCGCTAACAAGGTTCTTAACATCACCCTTTTCTCTTTCTCTTATAAATATTTCTCAGTGTAATTATTATTTTTTATTTTTTGTGTTTTAGAGCAGAAAATAAATCAAAAGAACACATGGGAGTTGAATTTGATGGACCATCTCGACTGAGATTATCATGGTCGAAGAAGAAAACGATGCTGAGACCAATTTTCAAAAGGTAAAACATCATTTTTATTTTTTTAATTTATTTATCTTTAAGCAGAATGGAGTAGAAGTATACATATGGCTTGGGTGTTGTCGTTCTTGTATCTATTTATCTTCTCCGCAAAATATGAAAAAAAATTTGATAGTATTCTTTCTGAGCTACACTCGATTTATTTATTTTTCTTCATGCCACACTAACCAGACTCATTTGATGGTTCTAGAGTAATGATTCTAACTAGTGTTAATTGATGTGTTGATGGTATAATGATGGTTGATTGAGATGTTGTGTGGATTAAGTCAAGGCACTTATCTCGCCATTTGTTCTGTCAAAAACTCTCTTTTGTTCTGTGCATCTTGTGCTGGCAACTTATGCATCTTGAAGTTGTTTTATAATTTTCAATTGAGCCATGGCCCTGGGACATGTATAAGATTTTTATATGAGAAGTTATTTGTTCCCATCTTTTTGGCACTTGGTAATATAGATATTTTCCTTTCTGTTTGATATGGTAGCCTTGATTTTATTATCAATATTCTAAATTTAGTTTCATTTGCTCATGATTTTGTTTCACTATCATTCCACCTAATGCCCTAGGACATGCATTTTGTATCTATTGCTGCAGTAATCTTTGTTTTCTCTACTTTTCTTTCCTTTGTACCATGATTGCCTGTGCTTGACAAATTATGATACCTCAAAGTTGTTTTCACTTTGCCTATCATTCTAAATCATCAATTCTCTTCTTATCCTGCATACTTTAGGTGGTAAGTTCATTGGCCATTAATTTCTAACTATATAGCTTCTGTTTGTACTCAGTCACTGAAGGTTGAAATGATTGCAAATCTATTCAAGCATGTTTCTAATACCACTAAGGATCAGGGCATTATCAGGTGAGAGAAAAACCTCACAGTTAGTGTTAAGGCTTTGGACTTCTTGTTTGAAGGGCTTTTTTATCATGTCTTGCTTTCACTTTGTTGTTAAGGCTATAGAGAAAGTAATAATAATAAAAAAAAACATCTATTTAAACAAATGAAGAGTTACCTGAAGAAGAATTAAGGTATGATAGGTCAATGGAAAAACGTGTTTGACTTGTAGCTATAAAGGTATTTATTCAAGTTTTGAGGGCTGCCACTTCATGCGAAAATATGAAAAGGAAGGTTTGTTTCCAAATTCTCCCCTGTGATTCGACTTCAGAGGGACCATAATTGGCTGATAACATTTAGAAATTAAGGGTATGTTGTTCCTTTTCAGACATTTTGTTGTTCCACACACACAGGTATTTAGTGTTAGTTCATGGATTATACAAGTACCTGCTTGGATCCTGAAACTTGTTGTGATGAATGTGCATAGGATGTCTTGCTTCTTAGGGCTAACTGGATCTAACCACACTTTTCATGAAGTGAGATATACACAATCTTTATTAAAAATTGAAATACAATATTGGTGAAAAAGACTATTTGATTAAATCAGGAACTTTAAAATGTTCAAGAATTGTTTTTATATCTTTCTTGTAAGGATATGTGTCAATTTACAACTCATTGGCAGGTTCTACATCCACAGTCCATCAGACCAGCTAGAGAGGGAGATATTCCAATCAGAGTTAAGAATTCGTATACCCCTAACGCTCCAGGTACCCTCATTAGCAAAGCAAGAGATAAGAGTAAGGTTCTTATCAGCTGAAAGTTGAATATTGAAAATAAGTAGTGTGGGAAACTCTCTGGAAATGTCAACATTTTCACCTGAAGTCTATCACAGCCTTTCCTTATATCGATTACAAGCAGTATTGACCAACATAGTTTTGAAGTGGAATGTCACCATGTATTTCGAACAAGTGTTTAATCCTTTAGTTTTATTATTATTATTTTTTTACATGTGAATGTTTGACGACTTTTATGTATTTGAAATTTAATGATTACAAATTTAAGAATATTGTGTAAGCTATATAATTTTTCTTTTATTTGCATTCAACAAGATTAACTTTTTTTTCATTTATTTGTTTTTTGATAAAATAAAAAAAATTGAATTCGAAGGATGAATTATAAAATCCATATAAATTTGGAACAAAATTCATTTATTCCGCACGAATTATAAAATATGGAACGTAGAGGTGGTTACAACCATACAAATTATGAATTTTATAGTTTATGGTGGTTTAAAACCGCCCTTATAAATTTGCAAACTTTCGGAATGTAGAGGCGGTTCTAAACCGCCTAAAAAATTATGCGTTAAAAAAATCTGATGATAGTATTGGTACCGTAGAGGCGGTTTAAACCGCCTCAAAGAAAAATTTTGAGGCGGTTTGAACCGCCTCAAGCAACCGCCTCATAAATCCCCGGCGGTTGTCAAAACCGCCCCTACATCGTAGAGACGGCGGCATTGTAGGCGGTCTTGGGGCGGTCTTCAAAACCGCCTCTACAATCTGTAGAGGCGGTTATAACCGCCTCTAGAAGTTAAAAAAACCGCCCGGAATACCCTTTTTTGGTGTAGTGAGAAGATGAAAACGGTGATAATAACTCGGTTGGAGAATGATAGATATAACGATAGAGAGCAACACCCAAACCATTTTTAGTAGGATTCATCATAATTTTTTCACTCTTCTTTGTACTTATACGTCTTTTTAAAGTGGAATCATAAAAAAACATTAATAGCTATTTTAGAAATAATATAAAATGATTAAATGGTCTTTTTTTTTAATTTATTTTAAATCATTTGAGAGTCGGTGTTTCAACTTTTAATTTCAATTTGGACTTTCTTCAATTATTTTTCATTTAAAATTACACAATTTTGTTAGATTTATATCAATTTTAATCATAAAAGTACACGTAACTTGTACATAATTAAGTTTTTAATTTTTTTAATAATTAAAAATATGTCAAAATTTATAGATATTTTGTTTTTTTTACTTCAAACTCGATTTTGTTCTCATAAAATGTTTGTTAATTGCTTATGAGAAAGTGCACTTATGTTTTAGAATTGATGAAAACCTATTAGAAAGATCTAATTTTAAATAAAAAATAAGCGTATAAAGGTCCATCCAAAATTAAAAATTAAAAAACCGATTTTCAAATTACTTAAAATTTAGAAAGATTTAAAATGTTTATACATATAAAATTTCCCAATTCCAAAATAACAAACATAGCACCCTTAGAGTTACAGTCAGTGAATGCCAAAATCACACCCATTCATATTACAGTTAGCCTAGTTTTGCAACCAAAATGTGTTCTCTAGAATGGATTTGTCCGGAATTCATTATTTGGAACAAAAGCAAAACCCATGTTGATTTTCTTTCTTTTAGAATGGTCCATCCACAAGTGCCATTAATATTTTCATATATAGGATTAGATTCAACACTACAAAATTAAATGTAATGATAGGTTTGTCCCAATAATATTATTGTAGGGAGGAAGGTAAGAAATGACATTTTTATATGATATAATGATACGAGTACTGCACACGAGTACTTAAGAAGGAGGTTTATCATAGGTCAAAATCCTAATGATATATTTACTTCTTCTTCTTCTTCTTCTTCCTTGTTCTTTTTTTTTTTTTTTTTTTCTTTTTTAACTATAGATGGAATCTTTAGGACTATATCAGTTTTTAGGCTTCTTTTGAGGGTTAACACTACGGATTAAATAGGTCTTTTTTTTTTTTTACTTGCACACTCAAAACTTTTAATAGAACTAGTCCGTTAAGATTTAAACTCGTAGCCTCTTGTTGCAAGAGACTACTATCATTGGGCTACAAACTCTTTGGTGATTAAATTGGTCACTGTTATAAAGATGAAATAATACTTTGACTCTCTCTTTTAATGGAGATATATTCTTTAAAACTCAAATATTCTAAATGAAAAATTTCAATCCTTATCTCTTTTTTAAACATAAATTTTCTTTTTCTAAAATCAAAATTAAAAAATGATTAATTAAAAAAATATGTTTTTCGCTATGAAGAATTTTTTTTAAAATCCTATTTATTTATTACCAAATCCACCTTAGACCAATCCACTAAAAATCATATATAGCTAACACCCATATTTTGGGATTTTATTGATAGAAGTAATTTTATTCCTTGGCCAAAGGCCGTATACACCACAATAGAATTCAAGTTTAGTGGCATTTCAAATTGAAAAATTATTTAATTGCAACAATTTAAGTAAATTTCCATAAAAAGAAATTGAGTTTGATAGCATTTGTTGATGATTGTCAAATGATCATTTCAACCCAATAGCTTAACCTTTTAGGTAAGGTCCCAAGATATTATTTATATGATTAGCTAATAAATTTCATTAAGTGTGAGTCCTTTGGACTTGAAACTTGCCTACACTATTTTATGCTTAATTAAAAAAAAAAAAAAGATGATGAGATATGAACTCGTGCTCACTTGGTCAACAAAACTCGATATCAAGTTTCTCCAACAAATGCCACTAAAATATATATTTTCTTACTTTCAAATTATAAATACCGACATTTATTTTAAAACCCAGTTTTCAAAATTAAAATAAAATAGAGACAAAATCTCTCTCTCAAACGGCAGTCTCACCGGCAGGAAATTGATGTAGCCACTTCTTAATCTCGCCGGAAAGCTTTGATTACTCTCGCCGGAAATTGGGGTTATTCATGTGCTTGCAAATATGTTGAGCTTGGTCTTCACTGGGATTTGCCTTTACTGAACCGGAACTGGCTAGGTGAATTGTTTTGTGAATTACCTAGCTATTGAACACGTAAATTTGTAATTAATTCTACTTGATAGGCCTCTTAGTTTCTTATTTGGTGAATGATTTGAGATTTACTTGACAAGTTATGCTATGCATGCATTTATGGAGTTAATTTCTTCTGTTCTTAATATTTTACTCAATATTGGACAATGAAAGCCGATTGTGTAATAATGCATTCTTCTCTCTGAAACAGTAAGTTTTTTAGTTTTCCTCAATAGTATTACAATTTAGATTCTTTCAATTAAATGAAATTAATTTGCAGTTTTGTAAATGGTAAAATTTGAATATATAAATATACATGATTGTCACAAAAATAATGGTTTTAACCGCATTTGCAATAATGACAAAAATGGTATCATTAATAGCTTTTAGTCAAGGTAAAATGGCATTTAGAAAAGTAAGTCTCATATATATGGCTAATCCCTAAATTAACATTTTTTTCTAAAATATAAAGTGTACTAAACCTAAAAGAAATCTAAAAAAATTACAATAATATAACCAAAAATCAAGCCAAGATATCGATTGCCCACCTCATATAAGGTATTATAAATAAAGTTATCCTATTTTTTTTCCAGTTTACCGAACATTGTCTTAAAATTTGTTAGTGCAGTAAGTCCTATGGTGTCATTATTAGATTAGTAATCATGGAAATTGGACTGTGAGGCCCTCTATTTAGTAATATCATTGGATATCCACAGCATTTAGCTGCAGATATTATTGGAACACAAATGACGGCCATAAAAACAGGCTGCCAAAAGTAATGGGGATATATTCACTGAGTATAAGTATATATGAAAACTTTTTTATGAATTTGTCAGCTAAAATGTGTAAATGCCCCTAAATTTTCGATCATTCTGTTTAATACTTAACTAAAAGATGGTTAGATTGGAACCCTTTCTCTAAGGTTTCGATCGCTATTAATGGTGAGACAGTCACCAAACGAAAGTTTGGCTGACATGAGTACCTGCATGCCCATCTTAAATCTAATCCTCCCCGGGTTTGAACGTTTTGAGGTTTAGAAATTCCTAATAAAAAAACTAACTAAAACTCAAACCGATGAAATTGATTTGAGTTTAAAAATTAATTTTGACATTGAACTATTGTTTGCAATGTAAAAAGGACTACTTTGGTGCTTTTTGGAGGTAATTTGATGATCATAACGGTGGAGTTTTGGTTATGATTGGCGATAAAAAGGATCATAATCTAAACACCCCATAGATCATGTATCAAAATAAAAATTTACAGTGGATTTTGCTTGCGTTTCTTCTTCATATGAGGAGCTTTTATAAATAATTGTTTGTAGGCGATGGAACAATCTATATTTTGGTGACACTAGCATGCCAACAAGAGCCAAGGTCGTGAGAAATATTATTGCTTCTGGCAATTACGGATGACACTACGGACAGTGGCTCCATTATTTTTTGACTCTGTAACATGGCTTTTCTAGAAACGAACTTCCACTTATTTTTTGACACAATGTGAAACGACAAGGAACATAATTAAATTTGATCCATCTCAGTCAATATCATGGTCCAATTTTTCATGGGTCTCCTCGTTCTGTCATTCGCCTACCATGATTTAACATTCAAATTGAGACTAGTCGAGCTCAATAGCTGTGAAACTATTTGGAAGATCTGCAGTGGTAATCACTTGGTGCTGTTTATGTAAGGGTTTATATATAAAAATGTGCATCATTTTCTATTCAAAAATCTTGACAATTGAATTAAGCCAGTGTAACTTGTCTTGTTAGTCAATATGAGGTATTTTATACAACTTACATGCACAAATTAACATCTCAGCAGAAACTTGAACCCGATTTAATTTATACACATTAATCTTGAATGTCATAATTTTCAACTCAATTTTGCTCGGTTACGGCCCAGTAGAGAGTGCCCTTTCTTGTATTATTGGGCTAAATGCTGTATTTAGCGGCAGGTATGTATGGTTTTTAGTTGCATATAAGATGGAA